CTAGGCCAGTAAAATAAGAAAAGTCTCAGATCACATGTAATTGTTGGCCGAGGCGAAGCCGAGGTTGACAAACATGTGATCTGAGGCTTTACTTTTTACTGGCCAAGGTGTGTATACTATTTTTCTGCTCGACGTAGCCGGAATGTGGCAACTTTGTTTAGTGCAGCGGCCAGAAAGTTGCCACTTTCCGGCCGGAGGGCAGAAAAGTGCGTTCCGGAAGAGCGTACTTTCGGCGAGGAAAACAAGAAAAATGTTTAATATCAAGAACATAATATTCTTCAATCAAGATTTTGGCTGTCTTCCGATAAAAGTTTTTGTGTCAAGAATGTTTTTGGTCTCTGTGTACCTACATGAAATCTATTGGCAATTAACTCTTTCATATGCCGCATACCCCGTTTTAATCGGTCTGGTCGTTTAAAAGTTGTGAGAAATTTACACACACATTTTTTTAATGTTCGTTTTATTGGAAAATAAATACTCGAAATGAATGCAAATACCTAAACGGTGATCATCGCATATGAAATAAGCTTAACAGCGGAATTTTAGTTTGCTGTCCTTGTTGGCAAAATATAATACACACCATGCGTAGCCATCACAAGTCAAAGCTCAGTTGATGGTTTTGCGACGGTAAAACACAAATACCCACATCCAAACGGGCGCGCGACGTCTCACAACTTATCACAGTCAATATTCGTAAAGATTGACATTTTAACTGCTCACACGCATGTTTATTGAAGAGAGCCACTCGACTTTTTTATCGTAATGATTAAATTCACTTATACCTAAATTTCGATCTTGACATACTATATGACGAGGTGGCCGAGTGGTTAAGGCGTTGGACTGCTAATCCAATGTGCTCTGCACGCGTGGGTTCGAATCCCATCTTCGTCGAAATCTTTTGAAAATTTAGACAATACATTCGAATTGTTTCATTTTATTTTTTCTCCTTTGAGAAAAGAATAGAGGATTGAGATTTCAGAAAACTGTTTTTTTAACTTCCCGCTAAGAAAATCGAAGATTCCCTGACTATTCCCGGGATGTTGTCACTATGTCTGTATGTATGTATGTATGTATGTATGTATGTATGTATGTGTGTGTGTATGTATGTAAAACTCTTATAACTTTTGAACGGTTTGATCGATTTCATCGTGGTTGGCGCCATTCGAAAGGGCTTGGCCAAACTTAGATTTTAAATACAATTTGGACTGGTTCGAACCGGTAGATTTGGGGAAAATTGAAAAAAAAAAAAAACACGAAAAAAAATTTTTTCAAATATGGTTTTTTTGGAATAACTTTTAAATGGCTTTACTAATCGATTCCAAAAACTAATCAGCTTTTAACATAAAAAAAAACCACGTTAATCGCCGCCGAGCTGGTTAAAATCAATTGATTCGTTCAAGAGATATCGTGAACGAAAGAAACCAGAGAAAAGTGTTTTTTCGGATTTAGTCTGAAATTCCTGGCTTGATCGATTTAAACTCAGAATTTTTTCATAAGGTTAAAAAAACTGCGTTGAATGCTGCCAACCACGTAAAAATTGGTTGATTCATTCAAAAGTTATTGCGGTTTGAAAATTAAAAAAATTGTGTTCTATGAAACTTCTATCAGACTTTTGAGCTTGAAGAGCTCAAAATCATAGAAAAGCTATCTCTTTGAGCTCGGAGAGCTCAAATTAACACATAAATTGTATTTTTGAGTCGAAGAGCTCAAAAACATCATAAGTGCAATTTTAAGTGCCTAGTGGAATTAGCGGGAAGTTTCAAGGATGGCCTTCAGGGTCAACCGTTTTCCTAATTTCCTTTTCTTCAAAAATGGTCATCATTGAATTTTTCAATACTGGGCTGAAATATTGATTATTCGAACTTTTGCAAATTTTAAATTTTCGTAGCAGGAAATTACAAACGATAAATGGAAAAAGTCTTGTGATATCTGCTGACGAGAAATGAAGATACGATGATATCATGCTATCACTCATGAACTGTTTTGCACACGACCTCTTCTCATGTTTCATGCATCACAGAAAACGTCGAGAGTGAGGGAAGGTTTAACCACCGATGAGCAACGAGCCGTGAGAGCTACAGGGAGGTCGAGATCATGGATGCGGTTAGACAGAAACTGAACTCCCCGCCAAAAGCTAGTAAATCTACTCAACTGTGAATCCTCACGTCAACCTCGGAGATCATCTATGGTCAATTTTATACTTTTTTAACATGATTTAGTGATAAAATACTAAAATTTTTCCAGTAATCTAAAAAAAACTGTTATTTTGTGTCATTAAATAAATTTCTGATTCAATTTATTAATTTGAAATTATTAATTTACTCAATCAGTAGTTCTTTGAACTTATGAAATATTAACCTGCCAGTTAATTATGTTTGTTAAGTCAAAGTCAAACGAAATAAAATTGGACAAAAAAACGTTGAAAACGTTGAAACGGGGAAATTATTAGTCAAAAACAATTTTTTACTCATCATAAGTATACAATTAACTGCATAGCCTAGGTCTCTCTTAAGAAATAAAACCAAAAATGTTGCGATAAAAGCCCAAAAACTACAACTTTTGAGTTTATTGTTAACCTAACCGCTTTAAGCTACCCTCCCCTATATACTCAAATATAAATAGTAACCATAAATTTTAAGTAGTTTTTTATGTGGTCAGGTATGAAACTCTACGATTTTAGATAAGAATGAGTCTTGATGACCCCCAGTAGAACGAGAGATGTCGAATCTGAAAACATATTTGTCCTCATGGCACAATTTATGTTTTTATGTCACTTGTATTAAAACATGAAGTTCGAAGTAAGATGATGATCTAAGACCAAAAGTTTACTTTTCATTTTTCAACTTGATTAATTACTTTAAGATAAACAATAAACAACAATCCCCGACAATAAGGCTAAAATCAGTTTAATTAGATTCAATGAGTAGAAACTGGACAGTTTCTACTCTAAGAGAACAACGGTAGTTCTTTTCCATGATGGTCGAAGAGGTCCGAAATAGTTTTCTTCCGACTTGAAAGTAATATGAGAAAAGTTTTATCAAAATGTTTATCGCTACCACCGTTCTAATACTTCGTATTCTACATTCTTGAAATTTAACTGCACACGATAGTGGGTCATTATAATGATTAATTATAAATAAAATTTGAAGAACTATAATATTTATTTAGAAATAGTTATAAAACTACTTGATCGAAAAATTTCACATGGCATGACATTGACATGATTTCATTTTCCGAAAAAAGTAAAATTGTTAAATTTTGTGAGACATGACATATTAGGATCTGAGTATCAATATGAGTAATTCTTTACCGATCAATCTATAACTTACGCTGAATAACGCAATTTAGATGCCTTTTCTTGCCGGTAATCTGTACTATTAATTTATTCTTAGCCATATTAAGTAAACAGGTATGATAATGACAAATCATTGAACATTTTAGTCACAAATCCAAACTACTGTAGAGAAGACTAAGAATAGTTAGAATTTTTCGTTTCAAAATTTAATTTGTTTTATGTTCTTAAAATCATTATTAAATATTACGAATCAATTTACATTAACATATTTAAATTTGTGTGCTGACTAAAATTCTGTTTAAAAAAGATATCGAATCTAAAACAAATATTTCTTTTAACTAGCATTAATTAATAATCGTAACGATTCGGGAATAGGATTTTAATTTTTTTAATTAAATTTCTGAATATGTAAAGTTAAAAAATAACTTTTTAAAAAGTAGGAGATGCACGGTAAAATTGAGATAAAATATCAAGTTGTGTTTATAAATGGGTTGACGTATTTTCCATACGTCTTTGTTGTAATGACGTACAAGTTGTCTGGACTAATTAATTCATAGTCGGGTTACGAGTCACGGACTCTCTTGAGTACTCTTGCAACTTGCATATTATCGTTGCTATAATGATGATATGGGATCTGAAGACACTTGTTTCGTATATACTCCAGATACTCCAGATGAATTTCATGATATCATGCAAAATTATAGCATTGCAATAATTATTATAATCATGAACCTTTGAATATTATTAATAAGTAATTTAATAGTACTATCATTATTAAAAGTTCTTGTATTGATCCAATAATCAATTATTTAAATAAGAAACTAAATACTTGAAAAACAATACGTTTATAAAAGATAAAAAATTATGTAAGACAACTCGGCATTTTTAAAAACGGAAGATTTAAATTTACATATCTGATAATTTAAAAGTATGTAGAGCTTAAAAAGGTATGAGAAACAATGCAAGGTCCTATTGGCAAAACTAATTTTAAACTGACAAGGTTATAGATACCTGATAAGAACGTTTCTACATTATAGTACAACTAAATAGGTCAAAATTGTATACAGAAAAAAACAACATTTGTTGGTGGTGGTGTAACATGCAAAAGGTGAAGCTAAAAAAATGGGATAAAAAATGCAGCATCGTAAATCTCCAAGTGAGTTCAGCAGTCACCGCTTATCTATATATCCTCTGAGGTGAAGCCTTGTTACTCTCCCATGAATAGATCTAGTGATATCCCTTTCAACCCCTTGTACTAATTTTCGCACTGAAATATCGTTATTTAGAAATATCGTGGCTTTAATATGCAAATAAATATTTTATAGTTGATCACGGATTCTTTATTCAACATGCAAACAAAATGTATTATACTTCTTTTAAGGGTCTACTTTATTTGTATAATAATGTTAGTCGCATCCATATTGAGTTTGTACATTATTTTTAATAATATCGATCACCTGCTCTCATTCATCTTCACAAGATAATTATGAAAAAATATTCCACTGTTCCATTACCCTTTTTTGCCCTTATCAGGCCCTTCATTTTTTAACATTTACGTTTTTATGTTTCTATTCTTTGTACAGATAGAAAAAATTTAATCGAAAAATTGTATTGAAAATAAAAATGCTAGATGATGCAATTAATAAGGGCTTTAGATCTGTATGTAACATTTGATTGGCACATGACGATAAAAAAGAGGAATTATATGGCAAGAGAGAGATTATCGAGTGGGATAAAACCGATGCTTTCGAGAGCCTCTCGGTCGTTGGATAGTACACTAGAGTTATATGTCGAGGCTCTCAATCAATTCACGAACCTACAACAGGGTGAGACATGACAAAGCGTGTCGACAACACTACATTCTCGAGATTTCATCCCGTAGATTGACAAGCTAAAAATCAATATAAATAGCTCCTATCCGTTCGAATAAGATTAATTGTATTTTCAAATATCTTTTGATTATGAGATAAAAATGTATTTTATTAATAATGAATATTAATCACGATAAAATTAATATGGAAATTATATTTGCAGATTCACTCAAATGATTATTTAATTAACTACATTATTAAGTGAATCCAGGTATTTTATAATTGCAACAGCTGCTTAGTGTAAATGATTATTCCGATAATTTAAAAGTACACGTCGATGGCCTGACTTAAACCATATTTATTCAACTCATCGTATCTTTTAAAACACAGCTTGTTCTCAATGTATGTAAAAAACTACATACATTTAAATGAATTTAACATGCTCTGAAATAATTTTCGGAACTATAAATTAACTATAAAAGTTAATATTCTATTAGGTAAGGTAAAAGCCCCAGTAGCTGCTCAGGAACCAGTACCTGCCCACTCTGTGTATTTGCCTATCTATATTCAAAAATGCAGATATACAAATACATGTAGTGAGCAGGTACTGGTTCCTGAGCAGCTACTGGGGCTCTTACCTTACTACCTAAAAATTCAGAAACACATTTTCACCCCAGAAGTAAATAAATTATTAGTCTCAGCAACCATCGTTCTTCTTATAGATTATTGTTGTCTTATACTCATTGGTTCTACTGCAGAAAATGATTTAAAACTACAGCGTGCTATAAATAGTGCAATAAGGTTCATATTCAAGTTAAAGTGTGATAAACACATTACTCCTCATAGACGTGAATTAAAATGGCTTTCGATAAATTCTAGACGTACTTATTTTTTGGCTACATATTTTTATAAATTGTTATCGAGTGGAAAACCAAACTATTCAAGAGATTTATTTAATGTTGATGAATCTAGACGATCTGAAAGATTGGCAATTAAAGATAATAATGTAAATTTGTTAATTCCAAACTACAATACTTCTTTTCTCGAAAGCTCATTTATAATTTCAGCGATTCGTCTCTGGCAAAAATTGCCACCAGAGATATTAAATGCAACTTCCTTAAAAGTATTTAAGAAGAAAGTATTTGATTATCTGTTATCACTACACTTATGAGTACCAGTGTAGATTGTCATCTCGACTCCTTAAAAATTTATATTCGCTTAGATAAACCGTTAAAAAAATTATTGACTTGTCGTTTTTGATTAGTCAGAGCTGTTATTAGTCCTATCTTACTGAGTAAAATTATATTTTGTTAAATCTCTCACACTTCTTAATATTGTTATCATTTTAATTGGATTTCACAAGAATTGTTCAGTACAATTTATATTATATTTTGTATGAACAGTTGTAATTATTGAAATTGTTAAACATTGCAATTTTACTTGTGCCATGGCATATTATATTAATCAATAAATAAATAAATGAATAAGTAATAATTAAATCTACACTGAGGTTCACTTAATGCCGAATCATCGAATTCTTGAAAAGATTTTTTTTTACTTTGCTGATTTTTTGACATTGTATGTTTAAAAAGAAGCTTACTTGTATTCTTCAAAAATTGAATGTCAGCAGTATTAACGAAATTTGAAATAGTTAAGCTATGTTCCTAATTTACTCAAAAGAACAATATACAGTATAAACTTAATACTAAAGAAGGCTATTCGACAGCCAAAATGGAAGTAGATTTCTGAAATAAAAAAAAAAATGAATTTCTTATAAAATAATATTACAGCCAATTATTCTAAAACAGCTGCAACAGTAAAACTGTTTCTTTAAACGAACTCTAAAATGAATAATATTGAGGCTATTACTGCTTCTGAGCAGTGAAAATTGAAGCTTAATAAAAGAGCTTTACGATGCAATTTAACGAATTTCAATATCTTGTCTAGTTCAGTAATTCCACCAAGTAGAAGTGGTAAAAACATCAATTTTTATAATTTTCAAAATTTAAAAATCCTGTCATTTCCAAACTACTTGCCCGATTAAGCTCATCTTCGAACTTAACCTTGGTCTTTATCGATAGACAAAGCATATGGAGTTTGAAAAGAATTGATATTTTTCTTATTTAGTTAATTCATTAACGACTTTTTTTATATTCAGTTTACGGACAGAGCGACCGAGCGGACTAGATACGTATGGAGTGAGACAAGAGTTGAGTCGAGCTTTGGATCTTTGGGCGAGAAATTCGAAGCTTACATTTCATGAAGTAAACAGCGACCGTGCAGATATACTCGTTTATTTCCACCGGTATGTATTAGTGAATTAACTATCTATATTATATCTTCTTACTTTTATTTATACAATAATTTCAATTTTATTATTGTTTGTATTTACTTATTTATCTAAGTCAATGTTTATTTTAATTATAACAACTAATCGACTTGTCTCCATTCGTACTATTGAATTTCTAAAATAAATAATTGATAAATAAAAGATAATGTTGTTTATAAGGATAGAAATCTTTAATCGATTAAGTGTTTGAAAAATACTTTTGTATAATGTATCGGTATTATTCCGGTTATTTTAAATCAATATAATTCAATTGTCATTATTTTTTTTTTAGAGGATATCATGGTGATGGTCATCCCTTTGATGGACGTGGCCAAATATTAGCCCATGCATTTTTTCCGGGTCGTGACCGAGGCGGCGATGCGCATTTTGACGAAGAAGAAATGTGGCTACTGCACGATGATCAACACGAAGAAGGTAAATTTCATTTAAGTCAGTCAATAACTTAAATTAAATTAAATAACTTCTGGTTTTTAGATAACTTTATTAAACTATTGGTACTTATTCAAACTACTTGGTTTAGGGTTTATTTTTTGGTTAGTTTATTTTTAGAACTGTTTTTTTTTTTTCAAAAATGTGAATTTTTGAATTCAAAATAAAATTTTTTTTTGTTTTTTGCAATTTCTATATGAGGTTCAGTTATGCGAATACGTAGTATTGTAATTTTGAGCATTAAAAAATTAAATACACGACCTGGAATTATTAAATAATAAATTAGTTTCAACTTCTTTTTATTTTTTGGACATAATCTTAAAGTCAGGCTTAACACATGATAAAATTTCTGATTTTTATTGAAAATTAATATCTGTTTGAGGTATTTGGCGTTGAAAACTGTAATTGAAGTGAAGAAACGGACAAAATATATCGTGTGTTGAAAAAATAAGAAACTATATCATGTGTTAAGCCTGACTTTAAGATTATGTTATTAAATATACGACCTGGAATTATTAAATTAGTTTCAACTTTTTTTTATTTTTTGAACATAATCTTAAAGTCAGGCTTAACACATGATAAAATTTCTGATTTTTATTGAAAATTAATATCTGTTTGAGGTATTTGGCGTTGAAAACTGTAATTGAAGTGAAGAAACGGACAAAATATATCGTGTGTTGAAAAAATAAGAAACTATATCATGTGTTAAGCCTGACTTTAAGATTATGTTCAAAAAATAAAAAAAAGTTGAAACTAATTTAATAATTCCAGGTCGTATATTTAATTTTTTAATGCTCAAAATTACAATATTACGTATTCGCATAACTGAACCTCATTTAGAAATTGTAAAAAACAAAAAAAAAAATTTTATTTTGAATTCAAAAATTCACATTTTTGAAAAAAAAAAACAGTTCTAAAAATCTCAGGATCTTTTAAGATTAGTACAATGTATTATACAAAAAAAAATTGAGCCAAAATTTTGATGTCGATTGTCATCTTCGACGATGTTCAAAAATTCAAAAATTGACGAATTTGGCATTTTTCAAAATTTTTTTCCAAAATGTTTTTTCAATAGCCTCAAGTGTCCCCTATCAAACAAACGAAAGTCTATTCCTGTATCTATAATAGCGTTTGAGATATTACAAAATCAAAATTGAAAAACTGGAAAAATTGCAAAATTTTGAATTTGCATATTTTTTGAAAAAAAATTTTTTTTTTCCTTTCGCAGAACTTCGTTATATGATAAAAGAAAACTTCTGACCAAAATTTGTCCAAATCGAAAGGGTTCGTTTTCAGCTATTGTTTGATTTGACATGGAATGGGTCATTAAAAACCCATAAGTAAATGTTTTTCGTTAATAATTAATAAAAATTAGCATTTGTCAAATTATTAAGAATTTTGGGTATGCATTCTATTAAATATATGCATATTATTCTAAAGTCAAACATAATGGTTTTTTAATATATATAAATTGATTTTCTTGTGTTTAAGAAGAAAAAAACCGTAATTTTTAACAGTCTGAAGTTTGAGGCTCGATATCTTTGAAACGGCTTGACTTACGCAAAATTTCAATCAGACCTTTTTTGTAGAGCATTTAATTTCCCATAAGGAAACGGTTTAGTTTTACCTATAAAGTAGCTCGTTGCCACGTTACAAAATTCCAAACTTTAAAAGAATAATTTTCTATGTTATTTAAATGGGAAATAGAAATTACATGACGCCACCTCTAAATATTAATATTAAGAGCTCATATTTTCAGAGGATCTTCTTCTAGAGATACTCTGACGATTTCTCAATGTTCATCGGAAAAAGAAAGATGTACCAATGATTACTCCCGAACAAATTGATATTTTAAGACCGGATCTTTTTTATTAGTTTAAGAATTCGATGAACTGGGTCCGTATTGCATATCAGTGGCCTAGCTTACGTATTTTTTTTTTTAAATTGAATTTTTATTAAAATTTACTACGATACAACCGTACAAAGCTAAACGAACTTTCCTTATTTGTCACGTGAAAACTATGGCGCCACTTGATCAAGCTAGATTTTTTTTTAGACTGCGTGCACGCATGACAAGAAGAAAGGGCGCCGATATTTAAAAAAAAATAAAAAATACTCTGTAAGAAATTACTTAATTATAATTTTTTTTTTTTTTTAATTAATTACACAATTAATTTTTCTGCCCTCCGGCCGGAAAGTGGCAACTTTCTGGCCGCTGCGCTAAACAAAGTTGCCACATTCCGGCTACGTCGAGCAGAAAAATAGTATACACACCTTGGCCAGTAAAAAGTAAAGCCTCAGACCACATGTTTGTCAACCTCGGCTTCGCCTCGGCCAACAATTACATGTGGTCTGAGACTTTTCTTATTTTACTGGCCTAGGTATGTAATCTACTATTTTTCTTAAAAAATGAATGAGCGCTATGAGGCGTGCACTTTTGGATTTTCCAAACTTTTTTTAATTATAATAAATTAAAAGTCTAATATTTATCGAAAGTCAAAATGAATTACAAAAAAAGTTGATAAAAATAATAAAGTTTATAATAAAGTTTTAGAAAACCTACCTGAATTTCTTATGATTATTTTCTTAAATCTCTTAGGAATACTCTCTACATTCTTTTGATTTTTTATTACACTATTTTTCTACCTCTGAAACTAACGCTTGAACTCAAGGGAATCCCATTATTCTTCGCGACCTGATTTTCTCTTACTTATTGCATCTCGTTTGTTATTTTTACTATATCACTCTTATCTTAAATTTAAAAAATATAATCATAATAAGTGCACGTGTGTGAACGTCCTCTGCTGGAATCTTCAATTTTACGCTGAATTTATTTGTTTGTGATTGTTTATTGTTGTTGGGTTTCTGTTATTACGCGAATCATCAATTATAATGAAGCTTTCAGATAATTTTTGGTGAAGTTTAGATGATAGCAGGGTCTTATCATCTAAACATCTTTAATTTGGATTTAGAACTTTTCTTCCTTGTAATACCTAAATAAAATATCGACTGTGGGGTTTTTGCTGTCGGTAAAAGGTGAGGTAACTGGTACTTCTTGTAAACACAAATTCCGTTCGACATTAGGTGAAAATTAGATACTGCCTGCATTTTAAATTTAACGTGTCCTAATTCTCAGTAGATTTCATCTAAATATGTCTCAGTTACAATTAAAAAATAAGAAATTTCAAATAGTTCAATTGAAAGTCATATCTTCCTTCTTAGATCGAGGCGTTTGTCAGATTTGCAACTGTTTACTGCGAGAGTGCTTCTGTTGAACAAATTTCAAGTCATTTAAATTATTTATCGAAAATAAATGCTGACATGAATATTGAAATAGGCCACATCATGTTGGAATCTAAAATGTAATGTGATCAATTTGTTGCTTCTTGTATTGCTGAGTTTGATTCGGCTGATCTAATGTGAATTATTGTCAGGCTTGAATTGAATTATCCATTAACTCACATGTAATTACTTTCAATACGGTAAACAAACTGTTAAAGAAAAATTTTTATGCAGGACTATGATATCAATATTAAAGTGAAATTTTATAATGTACACGGAAAAAAAAATATTTTGCTACTGGAGCCATCTACTAGAGAGCTACTCGTAGAGCGCTACGACAGCAAAACGTTTTCCTAACAGTAGTAGCCCAAATCTTTTCGTGAGCGATATTTAATTTCATGTGCACAAACATCCACAGATTCGGTAGAATCTGGCGCCAAGTTCCGTTCAAATCCGTTGTCAACGGAGCGCCAGACTACCGACTGTGTTTACTGTAAGCAGAACGGTATTTTGAGGTTGCAAAATTTTATTTAATTCTACGGTACTTTTTTTCCTAAATTGTATATTATAACAGTAATTCATACTTTATTTTACTGTTATTAATTAATTATATTCACTTATAACAATTAATCTACTTGAAATTACTAAATTTAATCAGCACAAACTATAGCAACGCAAAAATTTCGATCCTGACTTTTTGTCGATGGGCAAAGTGATCTGCCACAGACTAAAATATTCGAGAATGCATAGTAATCCTTCATAAGATGGGACACTACAGTTAAAAAAAGATATTTCACAACTTGCATCTACACCCGCCAGGGTGCGCTGAAATTATTTTTACATAAACTATAGCTTCAAGGGAATAGTTTGCTATAAAAAAATGCAGCCAACACGAGATTTAAGTTGGTACCAACTGTAAATTTTTATTATAATTACAAAAAAAAACTAAAATCCGAACAAAAACAGTTTCACTGCAAAAAAATCGCGCCAAGTCCACGTTCATAAAGACTATTAAGAAAAAAAAATTAGTTTTTTCTTTACAAAAAGATAAAAAATAAAAAAATTAAAAAATCCTCGTAACCGATATAATTGTTTATGATTTTCAGAAATTAAAATAAATTTTGTTGTAAATTTAAAAATTAAAAAAAAAATTTTGGAACGTACTTGGTGTGCGCGGTTGCAAAATATTTTACTCTTAATTAAATTCGTAAAATCTACGCCAAGTACGTTTAAAAAGATTTTCATTAAGTTTTAAACTTGCTACTAACTTTTTTTCATATTTTTAATAAAGTTATAAACAGTACTTGGAGTTTTTTTGATTTCATATTTTTTTGTTAGAAACGATTAATTTTTTTCGAAGCCTTATGATCGTGGACTTGGCGCAGTTTTTTACAATGAAACTGTTTTTGTTCGGATTAGAATATAGCTCTGAGAGGGATATTTTTTTTTCCGTGTATGTTCTTCTCTGGATAAGCTGAGCTTCACTCAAATCGAAAAATATTCTACTGTCAACAAAGAAAATGTTTGGATTATTAACTTGCATATTTTTCTGCAGTAGAAAAATGGTTTTGAATCAATTTCAATCAGTCTAAAAATATTACACTTAACCACTAATTTTGATAAAATTCTAATACCGTATTTGTGTAAATTTATGTAATAGACGAGATTTGTTGACTTAATTGTTCAATATTTTCTGCCACACATCGATTTGGTGTTATTTTTAAAGATAATACACTTGAAATTTACCGAATAAGAAGTAATCCAAGAAATACTGATTCAAAGAATTACTATTGCGAAAAGAAATTTCTCCAATTTAGAATTGTCACTACTCCTTGCCCAAAAAGCGTCTACATGTCCACCAAATTTTAATGAAGTGACAAAATAGTTTTTTTTCGTGATAGCTAGTGGTATCAATGACTATTTGCAGCAGCGAACAGCTTATGTGAGTGCTGTGAATATAGATCAATTCTATTACGTTGAAGTCTCTTTTGAAAATATTAAGCACTACTTGAGTTTAATAAATATAAGTGCAGTAGATCTATATGACCTTTAAATTATATACTATAAACAATTGCTGCCTTTTCATTTAAAGCCAATTATGGACTTACTCAATACTTCTTCAGTATCTTTTTGATTTTCTCAACAATGCAAAGATGCATCCATTTTACCAATACGAAAGGTTGAGTCATCTTAAGATATCTAAAGTTTTGGATTGTTGTTTGTATATAATCAATTAGTTCTCTAAATTTCGGTTAATAGCTTATTAAATTTGTTTCTGATTTAAAAAAAAATATAGTCTTTCAACTAATCTCGAATTGATCTCTTCATATATACAGACGTTAGAAAGAAAAACATGTAAATTTGCTGTCTTCGGGGCAGAATATAAATATTTAAGAATTTTTTTGCTTACCCTTATACATACATATTTCTCTCTCATACAAACTCTCGTGTTTTTTTCCATTTTTAGGTAGATTTCTTTAAAAATCTATATGTTGTAGCCAGTCTCATGTCGTAATTTTAAGAAAATTTTGTCATAATACGTTTCATTTCATCGAGTAATGTTGAAAAATAGCATTGGCTCAAAAATTTATATACACTGAAAAAAAAGTTTTCTACTCGGCAGCATCTACTGTATAGTAACTAGATAGAAACGAGTGGATCGTTACGGGTACAATCTGTACAGCTACGAGTAACAGTCTGGATAGTGATCGTCACGATCTATTCGGTGCCATTCCCCATGTAGGAACTGCCAGAGTTGAATGACGGGGCCTTGCCTGGCCCAGTACTGGGCAACCAAGCTTGGCGCACCGACATTGGCCCATGCTTGGGCCAAGACTGGGTAATCAGCCTTGGCCAACTCAATGATTACCCGAACCTGGGCCAACACTTGTTTGCCATAGAATGACCAAGGCAAGAAAACCCAGCATTGGTCCAAGCCTGGTTCGCCATAGCCATAGAATGGCCGAGGCAAGAGAACCCAGCGTTGGGCCAAAACTGGTTCGCCATAGAATGGTCGAGGTAAAAGAACCCAGCCTTGGGCTAAGACTGGTCCGCTATAGAATGGCCGAGGCAAAAGAATCCAGTCTTGAGCCAAGACTGGGTAACCTAGCCTCGGCCATTCAATGGAAAATCCAAAGTTAATTAATTATTAATTAATTAGTAATAGAATTTTAAACAATAAATATTTATTGTTTAACGAATATTTGTTAGCAAATGCTAAAATTGAAAATTTTTCATTTAACCAAAACAATTGCATATCGTCAAAATTGATATGGTCTTAAGAAAATTAAAATATAATAACTTACAGTTGAATTTTTAACATTGATAATTTTAAACAGTAAAATTTATAATAAGATATTAAAAATATACAGAACAATGTACAAAATCTAAAGTAATATAAGAACTTAACTCTTGCATTTTTTTTAACTAATAGACATTTGTAAAAAATAGTTCATTTTCATCAAAACACAATATTAAATAACATAAATTATATAAATAATAAACTGTCACACTTCGTCGTACATGGGCTTTATCTTCAAATAATTTCTTAGCCGTAAAAGATAGCTTAAATCCATTAAACGAATGTTACTGTTCACATAATTATCTTCAGGTTAAGCTTTTACACTTGCCCACTTTTGATAATTTTTTTGAATTTCTTTGGTAGTTCGAAAAATTAAGAAAAAAATATAAAAAAAAGAAAATTATTCTAGTATTTTGTCTTTAAATTACATATTTTTTTTTCAATATTCATCCAAGAAATCTACCTATCCATATCGGGTGTGGCCGAATGGCGTTTTTTCGAATCTCACTAAGTTTAATTATTTATTGAAAATATTATATTGACCCTTCTCTTAAATATAGGACCGTTCACACTCATCCACGCTAATCAACCATTACGATGATTAAAAATACTAATTATCTTTTGAGTTAAAGAGCTTCTTTATATGCAAGTCAGGTACATGCTTTTAGATATAATTCTAATGGAAATAAATTTTTCAGGTTCACAAGAGGAAAAACTTTGGGGAAATTTACCGGACGCTCCATCTTATCCATGGCCTGGTACAACAACTACAACCACTACAACTACAACTACAACTCAAAGGCCACGAACAACCCAAAAGTACTGGAGAACCTGGCCAACTAGACCAAACAGTTATCCTGATGAAAAAGAAAGAGAACGAGAGAGAGAAAGAGAGAGGGAAAGGGAGAAACCAGATTACAAACCTCAGGGTCGTTATCCTTACAAGCCAGATTACCGAACTGACTTACCAGAAAAGCCCAATTGGCCTGAAAAACCAGCATGGCCTAAACGTCCTATATGGTCGGAGAAGCCATATAAACCTCATCGGCATTATACGTCAACTAGCTCTACAACAGTTATGCCACCGCTATTTCGACCAAAACATCGTCCAACACCAAAACCAAGAAGTGATATTCCCGATAAATGTGATACTAGCTATGATGCTATTAGTATCATTCGCAGAGAAGTCTTTATTTTCAAAGGAAAAGTAAGTAATTATTCGCCTCTAACATGAGCGCATAGGAATACTGAAGGTAGTTGTCGTGGTACAATATTGTCAAAAAATTAGAAATTATACGCGCCGCAAAAGTATATGAACTTGTAAGCTAAATAATCCATAATTTTTACGCAAGACTGTACCCGTAGAGACGTAAACTATACAGTATTCATATATATAGATATACTCTATAAATACTTTTTTATAAATTGTTGAACTTTAATCCGTTATAAATAATTAGACGGTAAAAAATTTTTTTTTAATTTTTTTTTAAACACAACAAACACATTAAAAGACTTGAAAGTCAGTTTTTTGAAAGTTTCTGACAGTTAGTTTTTTTTTTATAACTAAGAAACTGGTACAGAACTGCAGAGAGCGTATGCAATCAATGTTAAATATCCAATTTTTAATTGAATTCATCCCGGGTTATAGGTGGTTAATCGACTTCAAATTTTAAGGATAATTGTATCATCATGTCCTTAATATGTATACAAAAATTTATAATTTTCTGATGCTATACCTTAACCACGACAACTACCTTAACTGCCACGTCATAATTTTATGTTGACATGCTTTTTAATATAAAACTTGATTGTTGACGGGAGTAACAATTTTCAAGCATTATAAAAAATTGAGATTGTACCAGTTACTGCGGCAACGATTACTATGATAACAGTTGCTATAATAACTTAAATGAATAAGTATAAGTATTGTACAATCAATTTTATGCAATCCTTACCGCAAAAGTTCAATTTCGGAGACATGCTCAGCAGAGTAAAAGTGATACTGTAGAAGAATACTATACTTCCTATTTTTTCGCCGGATGTTGAGATGTAAAGTATTTTATCACGCTCTATACTTTCTATCCATTGAAATAAATTAGAATGGTAACCCGAAAAAAAATTTTTGATATACCCTGATGCTCATATGTGGTCATACCGAAACTTCTGATATATCTATATTAGGGTGGCGCAAAAAAACCGACTATTTTTTTTTTTTAGTCCCGAGTGAAAAAATGTTAGTTTTTGATGTTTTAAGAGTCCTCACCAAAGGACAGCTCAAAAAAAAATTTTTAAGAGGTCACTCCAAATTTTTCAAAATTTCAAAAATCGTCAAAAATCAAATTTTTTTTTTTAATTTTTTTTCTCGTTACGGTATAATTTTATAGACTAAAAAAAAATAAGTTTCTGAAAATTTTAGTTCAAAATTTAAATTTTGAAGGGTCGCTCATAATTTTTTTCAATTTATTAGTGCATTAGTTTAGATTTTTTCGAGCGACCTTTTACTATTCAAATTAAAATTCCATGCAGTTTTTTTTTTTTTAATTATTTTTTTTTAATTTAATAATTTTATTTAATCAACTGTCAGGCGTGAGTTCGAATCCCAAGCTGGCCTTGGAAACCAGCTTGGTTGAGATTTGACTTTGCCGCGTTTGTTAAGATTTTTTCAAACCAAAAAGACCCCAGCGTACCACTCCCAACACTTAAAGTCGGTGATATGACTAATTAACGAAAAATAAAAAAAATTATGAGCGACCTTTCAAAATTTAAATTTTGAACTGAAACTTTCAGAAACTTATTTATTTTTTGTCTATAAAATTATACCGTGACGAGAAAAAAAATTAAAAAAAAAAAATTCGATTTTTGACGATTTTTGAAATTTTGAAAAATTTGGAGTGACCTCTTAAAAATTTTTTTTTGAGCTGTCCTTTGGTGAGGGCTCTTAAAACATCAAAAACTAACATTTTTCACTCGAGACTCAAAAAAAAAAAAAAATAGTCGGTTTTTTTGCGCCACCCTAATCTATATGTGGCCTGATATGATCTGATAAAGGCATATGTAATTTTGTATAAAACCATATAAATCCTGATTCGTCCTGATATATCAAAAATGGTCATATCAGGACATATATGGCTCTATGAAAAAATGATGTGTGCACATATTAGGCCAAATTAGGATATATGAAGCCTGATATGACCACTTTCCATATCAGGACGTATATGGTAATTGTTGAACGTGTACTTGGTTTGAGGCACTACGCGTGCCTCCGGATATCAAGAAATTATTTATGCCCATGTTAGGCCATATCAAACAGTTTTTTCCCGGGAATTTTTAGTTATCGATTTTCTAGAAAATAAAATAAATGTATTACCAACAACCACAATAGTTGAATCATTTTTCCGGAAACTGAAATTTTGAAGTTCGAATTGCACATACTATTTTAAGTATGGATTTTTCCAGAATTCTCCGATGAGCTCTATTAATTGTATATCATTAAAAAGCTTATGAAAATTTTATCACCCTCGCTTCGCCCAGGACGATAACTTTATCTCCACTTGCCCTCCAATAACACAGCGCCGCGTATCGGCTCTTTCTAGAAACTCACTTATGCTATAATTGACTTTTTTGGCGTCTTGTCGTATAAATAGCTATTTTTTTCACTTGTGATCATTTTCGCTACTAAAACTTAATATTTTTAATATCTATTAAATTGTTTTCATAGAGAAACTCTTTCTTCTTTAACCGCTGTAAGAAAATTTCTTAATTTGATATATATAACCGTTGCATAAATGTTCAGGACGTAGTTTTGATAAATTTTACCATTTTTTTTTCGTAATTATAATTAAATATGCACTTTAACTAACTTGTATTTTCTGTCATAGTATTTCTGGAGGATAGGGGACCAAGGATTATACGAAGGATATCCAGCAGAAATAGTACGTCTATTCGATTTACCCGAAGACATTGATCACGTAGACGCTGTATACGAACGACTAGATAAGAAAATAGTATTTTTCATCGGAAGAAATTATTATGTCTTCAACGCAAATAAACTTGAACCCGGGTTTCCTCGACCTCTTAGTACTCTGGGACTTCCCGAAAGTCTTGATAAAATTGATGGAGCAATGGTATGGGGTCATAACAGCAGAACTTACTTTTTTAGTGGTACTATGTACTGGAGGTAACTTTTTTTAATACTGCCCATTTTTTATACATAATTCGTGATAAATTACAAAACTAATAAATAAATTTGTTATTCTAGATTTGACGAAGCCATTAATTATGTTGAATTAGATTATCCAAGAGACATAAGCATGTTCGCAGGCATAGGCAACAATATTGATGCTGTATTTCAATGGAAAAACGGTAATTTTTTGATCAATTTTGAAATTCAATTTAGTAAGCTTGATAATTCGATACTAATAAGTCTATTCAAAACAAAAAAATATTTTTACTTTCTAGGTAAAACATACTTTTTCAAAGGTAATAAGTTCTGGGAGTTCGATGATCTGAGAATGAGAGTTGTTCACGAAAAACCAAGACTGTCAGCACCATTTTGGATGGGTTGTACCTCCGAATTGGACAGCAATGACGTTGATTTACCGCGAAGACGAGCAAAAATAGTTTATAATACCGGAAATAAACCAGCTATTAACTTGTCTCTATTGATTTCTCTACTTGTTGCATCAATAATTATGAGAATCAATTAGCTCATTTAATTTAAATTTTATTAGTTGTAATTTTTTAATCAAAACAAAGACATTCGATAACTTGTTGTGACTTTTTCCTTTTTACACTCTAACAATAAATTTATTTCTCCATTTATTTACAGTTTTAATAGATTCTCCATGATGCCTTTATGTAATAAATTAAATACTCGACAAAAAAAATCAAAATAACAGATTTATCTTAGAATATCCTTCAATTATTCGTTAAAAACTGGAAAAATCAAAAATATTTTATAATTAAAGTAGTCAGTAAAATTTTATTTTTAAGTTATAATTTTATTTAGGTTTTGGTATACGATAGTAGTAACTTCCGTCCCATGATGTTGAAGTCAAAAAAAAAATATTTTTAATGCTATGTAATTTTACAACACGTTATTTGTATCTGAATATGTATATTTTTATTTAAATTGCGGCAATGCATTTTATTATGAATAAATGAATACAAGATATGAATATAATTAAACATTAATTTTATAACACCATCGAGTGTATCAGTTTTATAAACTGTGATATATAACTATAACACAAAAAAAGTTAATTAACCAGTTAAGAATGAAAAAAAAAATAAATCATAATTGTATACATAATAATAATAATTATTATATTTCTATATAAAATGTAACATGGGAAATGGAAGTAGCCCCAAAAATATTACATTTTACGAAGCCATGCATTTTATAAAATATTTATACTTAGGAAGGCATTATTGCCGTTAAGTTTTTATATATTTAAATATTTTGTAAGAGTTTTTTAACTTTTATAATAAACTAATTCATAATTATTATAATTGCAATTTATTGAAACCAGAGTTTTCTAAGAACCTCAGAAAAAATTGAATCCATTAAAAAAACTTGCTGATGTCTATTGTTTTTAAAATATAAGCCAGAGAGACTTTGATTGTGTACCTCTCCGTAAGTTTTTTAAAATAAAAATCTGCTTAAAAATAATAAAGCAAGATATCTAATTGAATTCAACTTATGATAAATCGATATCAAAATTTATATCAAAATGAGTAGCATAATAACTAGTCATGAACTTTTAAGTTTCAACTAGTAATTTATGTTTCGAAAAAGATTTCTAATGAAAAACATCATTTATTACATTTAAAATAAGACTAAAAGTTGAGCGTACTTTACACCCACGCTTGAATGTAAATTCAATGTTAGTAATATAAATCTAATGAATGACGACTTAATCATAAACTGATAAGTTTGGTCTTAACTATAAATATGTGTTGAAACCATAATGATTTATTTAAAGATCGACAAAACATAAAATTTTATAGATTTTAATGAACAAAAATTATCAAAAAAAGGTCAGAAAATACAAAATTGCACGCTTCGTAATGCTAATTTAATTTAAAAAAAAAAAAAAAAAAACATTTATTGTTGAGTTTCTATGTATATAAAACAAAAAAAAATAAAAACGTATCATTTTCAATAACTGATACAAAAAAAAAATAGAAAAAAGTCGTAGAAAGATGAAAATGGGCATCTTGCGTTTTTAAGTTTTTTTTGAATAATACGTCAATTTTACTGTAATTTTAGGTGTAGGATATTCGAATACTAAACGTGAATTCAACGTTAGTTGAGAGTAAATATTGGACATTTTTAGCAACGTTGTTAGATGGAAAAGAAAAAATCTTATATTCATGCTTAAACTCAAATTCAGTATCCGTATATTACCGGCTATAATTTTCATTTCGAACGCTTTTCGACATTTTCTTCTCGGATAATGTACCTGAAGTTCCGAACGTTCATTTATGAACGAAAATCAAAAAAAAATTTTTTTTGCTCCTGAAACTGAAAATAGTTTTTCAGTTTCGAATAGAGACAGTGAGCCCTAAAAATGATATATTAGCCCCTCAAAACAAAAAAACCACCCCTCCAGCCACCCCAAAAACTTACACTTGGAAAAAAAAATTTAAGATAAAATCCTTCCAAGGGCCCTTTGAAGCTGGCGATTTTTTGTAGGACTCCCACAATACCCCCACACAAAAGGATCCATTTTTAGCCTGCTCAGTTAACAAGTTCACGTGATTATCTTAAATTTAAGCTATTTTTCAACTTTTGATACTTTTCTTAATTTATTTCGTAGTTGGGAAAATTAAAAAAAAATCAAGAATAAATTAATTTTTAGCTTTTATCATCAAATGACTTTTACACTGTAACAAATCCTATTTTTTAGGTAGATGTCTTTTTGAATATCTATTTGTTGTAGTCGGTCTCAGATCGTTATTTGCAAAAATATAATAAAAAATAAATTTTAGGACAGTACTGCCTTTTAATAACGTGTTTTTTTTAATATTCAAACAAGAAATCAACCTATCCATATCGGGTGTGGCCGAATGGCGCTTTTTGTTCTCAATAATCCAAGACATTTACAGCCAAAACATAAATTTTGAAGAATCTCACGTGAGATTAGGGAAGGGGGGAGGGAGTTGAGGAAAATCTTACGAGATCTTATCAGGGGGGGGGGTCGAAAAATTCTCAAAAATGCCTCACGTAATTTATGGACGCCCCCTAACTGCAGTTTTAGGTACGAAAATTGTAATTATTATTGATAAAAGTGTTTTAATTAATAACAATAGAAATAATAACTTATCTGCCTGTCGTAAGACAGACATGACTCTGCAATCATGTCTTGTTACTGCAAATATTTATTTTTTTCCATGTGGTTAAAAATCTTAACTTGAGCTTGCGCGAGAAAAATTCATAAAGTGCACCACTTTCTTTTTTTTTTTACTAGAATGGTATCCTTTCCTCACTTACTCTCTTATGGGAAAATTATAAAGTGTGGTAGTAGGGAGTGTCAGATTTCTTGTCATTTTCTGGCTCAAAACTTGCCGTTGAATTTTGACGAAGTATCTATGGCAATTTTACGATAATTTTTGAGCGAAAATCTGTTTGAAGTCCATAGATAATCAAGAATCTTAAACCAGACTCGCTCAAGGCTTGTCGAAAATCATTACTAGAGCTAAAGCTCTTAAATGGTTCTTCTTGAAATGACTTTTAAATACGATAACTCATCAAATTTCTTGATTTGTATGGTTATTTATTTTTCTAAATTGACTATTAGCTATTTCTTATTTTCCCATGAATTTGACAAAATTCCACTAGTGCATTTGTATTCAAGATCCTGCAAATTTTTAGTAGCTCTGAGAAATCGACTTCTATTTCGGCTGTCGAATAATTTTTTTTATGTATCCTAAAAGTAATTTTATTAATAGTTTTAACGGCTCAAAAAATTCACAGAGTTTTTAAAAAAATTAATCATGTTTTTTTTTTTTTTTTTAAAATAACATAATTTTGAGGTGAATTGAAGATAACAATATACACGAATGGGTGACATTTTTTTTTCTTCGAGAAGAAAAAAATGTTGTTTTAATCTGTTCTCAAATTTAAGAAAATATTCTGGCAAAACGACCAACTTTTTGTAAAATAAAAAAAAAATTAGAAAAACGGTTCACCCTAAAGGCCATCCCTGCAACTTCCCGACAATTCTATACCTAAACGCTTGAAATTGCACTTATGAAGTTTTAGAGCTCATAAATACAATTTGTGTATTATTTTGAGCTCACCAAGCTCAAAAAAATAGCTTTTGTATGCTTTTGAGCTCTTCGAGCTCAAAAGTTTGATAAAACACTATTTTTTTAATTTTCAAATCGCAATAATTTTTTAATGGATCAACCGATTTTCACGCGGTTGGCGGCATTCGACGCAGTTTTATCATCCTCATAAGTTATTTTCAGGTTTTAATTATTCGAACCGAAAATTTCAGAGTAATTCCGAATAAACACTTTTTTCGGTTTTCTTTCGTTCACGATAACTCACGAACGAATCAACCGATTTTGACTGGACTGGCGGTGATCGACGCGGTTTTTTGATGTCAAGAGCTGATTAGTTTTTGGAATTGATCGGTAAAGCCGTTTAAAAGTTATTCCGAAAAAACCACTTTTCAAAAAATTTTTTTTAGTAGTTTTTTTGCAATTTCTCAAAATCTACTGGTCCGAATCGGTTCAAATTTTCAGGAAATCTAAGTTTGGTTAAGCCCTTTCGAATGGCACCAACCGCGATCAAATCGGTCAAGCCGTTTAAAAGTTATAAGCGGTTCACATACTTTCACATACTTTCACACACACACACACACACACACACACACACACACACACACACACACACACACACACACACACACACACACACACACACACACACACACACACACACACACACACACACACACACACACACACACACACACACACACACACACACACACACACACACACAGACATAGTGACAACCTCGCGGGGAGAGTCAGGGAAGCTTTCTGTGACCTTCAAACGTCGAGATCTGATGAAAACTCGATTTTTGCAAAACGGGGTGAAAACAATAACTTCCCGATTTTTGAAAATCTGAGATTTTTAGCGGGAAGTTAAAAATTCCAAAACTGCTGATCCTGCTGGTTATTTTTAGAATTTTTTACTATTATTCAATTTAAAGTGCTAAAGAGTACGAAAACTGTAGGGGCAACCGATCTTTTAATTTTTTAATAAGATCAATAGCATTATTATTATAAAAATTAGTAAGTTGATCATCCTCTTAGCCGCGCTTGTTATAAAATCCACAAGAGCGCGCCACATTTCATGAAAGTTCACTTAAATGAATAAACTGTATAAACGGTCGAAAAAATTACCATGTGAGTTGGAAGCTCGTTTGATAACAACATGAGACTGGCAGACTAATCGTTTATTATCCTTTCAAAATAATTAAAATTGTTCAGCTCATCTAAAAAGTTAGGTACTGAATTAGTAATAAGAAATTAGAATTGATAATTTTTTTATTATTTCGATTAAAAAATAATGGATTTTATTATCACGTCAATTTTCAACCTGACATCAACGAAATAACGAGGTAGCAATCCAAATTGCATTCTACGGACATGGTGAGTAAAAGAAAAAAGTGTAAATGCCATGAAAAATACAACAAACCAAAAAAATTTATCGATCGATAGTCAAATACCCAGCAGTTCAACAAAACTAAAAGTCTTGGATTTCACGTGTGCGTGAACCTTGTTGATTATTTATGAGCTGACATGAGCAGACTATTGGATCAATAGTCTAAAGACCCCTACGTTTCCAGAAAGGTCTCAACTAATTCCCTCTCCCTTTCACTCATTCTGTCTGCCTATCTTTTATTTCAACAGCGTATTTTTATTGACCGTTTGGACAAACTTTTTACGAGCTTTTATGAATCAGCTCACGAACTATATAATATGGTCAGCTATCTCATTACAAAGATATTTCCGTGAAATATAATTCTAAAACTTGTTGTTATCTATTAGACTATTATGAATTAAGATTTTGTCTAATTTCTGATCACAAACTAAAGCAATCATAAATGAATTTTTAACTTCCTGCAATTAAAATCGGTGATTTTCAAGAAGACGGCAAGTTAATGGTTTCACCCTAGTTTTCAAAAATCGAGTTTTCATCAGATCTCCACGTTTTGAGGATCTAGAAAGCTACTCTGACTATTCCTAAGAAGATGTTTTTTTTGTGTACATGTATGCAGTTTAAATATCTTCTTATAAATACAAATATAAAACAGTTTTAGATTGGCATTGTGACTCTGAGAATAAATTAAGGCTTCGTCATGGGTCATGGTAGTTAGTAAAAAGATCCCGACAGCCAGTAGAAGCCATGAAAAAAAAAGAAAGTAACAGACAATAACCGGGGTGCGACATCCGTTGACGGCTCCTTAAAATGGTCCCTCTTCGTACGTCGCCCTCAATTTTATTTACTCTTATGCATATTTACCTACGAGGATTGCATACAAATCCCAATACTTCTTATAGAATTACTACGTCAAGAAAAACTTAATAAAAAATTTAGTCAGTCTCAATATACTTATTGTCGTACATTATTTAAATTTATTGAGTGTACAAATGAGTAATTACAGGAAGAGTCGCGTGTTTCGCAGACTTTTGTTGGCAACTATCCCTGGCAAGCTACCAACAATGTCAATGGCATTTACAACAGAAGCTTCTGTTATTTATTAAAAAACTAATTTTTCAGAAAGTAGAGTACTTTTCGCTTAAAGTTCAAGTTTAATCGAAATAAAAAAAGTTGTGTAGGTACTTACCTCCAGGTGAGATTCTTGTACGGCCAATGTTGACCGTGTATCGTGAACCTTTTATGTCTTAATCTCTCAAAGCGTAAGTCGGGTTTGTCTGCTAGACCGCAACGCCGGGCTTTCATCAGCTTTTGTGTCGCTTCATCTATCTCCCCAGTCACTTTTACGTTACCAAACCTCTATAAAAATTTTGTAATTATATCTCCATTACTCGTTTAAAAAGGTCATAAAAGTATAAAGTAATAATCACAGTTTTAATTTATAGAAAGTCATTTAAATTGAATGTTTTGTTTATCAGTTGTTGTTTATTTTTAAATTGAGATTTGATTTATCGACAATTGATCCCAATTATGCAATAATTGAAGCTACTACAGCTGGCTATTAAAATCACAGTCAAAATCGTTTACAAATGCTTCGAATTATATTTAATAGTAAAAGATATTTTACCCGAACTAAATCTCGAAATTCTAATAAATTAAAAGTAACGTTCATTTATTAGATTACGATATATTTGAAGTTTAACTGAGCTCAAGCTACAAATGAGGTTGATAAGGTCAAAATGAGGCCAAAAGTATCATTACTGGTAAGTAAATAAAATCTATTTTGATCGCTAAGTGTAGCCGATGAATTTTTCTAAAAATAATTTTTCTGCGCTTTGCTTGTAGATAATATTTTCTAACCAAAAACTATTCAAATACATTCAGTCGTCTTTTAACATTTTTTTTAAACATTTGTTAATAAGTTGATTTCATAAGAATCAAAGATTATCATCAACTTAAAATCATACAATCTTCGAGGTTCGAACATTGTAATGCATAGTAAATTAACATTTCGTGAACATTACTAGAGAGGCTCTTTTTTTTCGGAATCTTTTTTGTTTTTCTTATCCCTAAATATCTATTTATCTTTTTTGTTATGTGCTCCTTCTTTTCTTTCGCTGTTTATCAGTCGATCCAATTCTCTTTTTCTCTCTCTAATCCATTCTTTTCATTGCATTCACTCAACCTACCCTAGATCTTTATCATTCTCGGGTGCAAATATTACGTCGCTGACGAGGTCGATTTTCATGCAAATCCCGTCATCTGAAAAGTCTCTTGCGCGTGAGATCGGTTTCCAATAGAACACTCATTCGCCTGGCTCATCAAGTAGCATCAATCACTCAACCTATCATGCTAACTATTAACCAACTAACTATTATCTTATTTAATACAAGATATATTTTTATGTTATTTTTTAATTTTTGTTTCAAGACTGTAAACCCTTCTGATTCTCATATTTATACTCATACACGGAAAGAAAAATATGAAAATTGTTGCTATAATTTTAATGAAATGTTTTCCTATACCATTTTACGAGCGATTAATTAGATTATGGGAATTTTACCCATAATTTTTGGGAAATGTTTCTATAGTTATGGGAATGGTTCCTATAATTATATGAACGATACCTATACTTATAGCTGTCATATTATCGGCATGATTCTCATAATATATAGGAATGGTTCCCATAGTATATAGGGATAGTTTCTATAATAGTATAGGAATGGTATCCATAATTATAGGAATAAACGCTAGATTTTATAGAAGCCATTCCCGTATATTATAGGAACCATTCCTATAATATCATGGGAACCATTCCCATAATATCATGGGAACCATTCCCATAATATTATAGTGATGATGCCTATAATATTGTAGTAATACTTTTTCATACAACAGTACAAGAATCACTTTTCTAATCTATATATAGAAAAACGATAAAGTTTCTGTGACGTTGAAAATTTAATGTTATTACACTCGTAATAAAATATTTTATTGATCATTCGATTAATTTTGACCAGTTTGAAGCATTTAAAATTATTTGTAATTTCGATAATTTTACACAGAAAAAAGGGTTCACTTGACCCAAGAAAATATTTTTCTTCCTCATTATTTTCTTGAGCAAAAAAAAAATTTTTTTTTGACACAAGAAATTTCACTTATTCCAACAAAATTAATTCTCTCGCTTTAAGGTAGTTCTTTCCCAACCTATAGTTTATACTGCTGCTGTCGTTTTCATTCGCTGGTGTCGCTTCTCTTACGGGTTATTGCTCACTTACTTCCACGCATGACTTTATTTGTTTACTTTACTAGTTTAGCAACGATTTCTCAAAAACTATGTGGTAGGGAATTCCAGAATTTTTTAGGGTAATTATACATGAATTAATCTAAGTAATACTAGTTTCTCGTGAAATTCTTAAAATTTCTTCAATACAAAAATAATAAAACTTCGCGGTTTTCTCTCTCTTTTCCCATACCACCTGTGTAAAAATGTCATTTTCAATTGCAATTATCTTCGGTTAGACTTGGTAAATCGTCTCCAAATTTTAACAGCATGTCCATTATGCATTTAATTACTTATGTTATAAATTTGGAAGGTTTCTTGAAAATTTGCTCGCAGGACCCAACTATCTCAAGAAATACGTATTTTAAGCCAGGAAAATTTATTTAAGACAAGAAAATCTTTTTGTTTTGAGAAAATTCAGCCTCTCGCCCTAAAAAATTTTATTCTTGATAGAAGTAAATTTTCTTGTCTTGAGAAAATTTCTCTCTTGCTCCAAAAAATTAAATATCTCGATAGAAGTAAATTTTCATTAATATTTTTATTGATTAACATGTCTAATGGGAAGATCGAATAATGTTGAACCATTGTTTTTCATTCAATATGTATGATTGCACGCTAAAATAATATAAAATGGGTATCAAATATTCAAGAGAAAAATTTTCTCAAGGTGAGAAAATTTTTTTCTCAGCTGAAGAACACTTCTCACAAAAATTAAGAGAGAAAGAAAAAAATCCAAATTTTTGGGGGATTTCCAGAAGGCTGTAACGTGTAGAAGAATGGTCGTACAGCAAATAAACAAAAAAGCAAATTGTAGCTCTAAGTGTCTAGTTTTTGGATCTGAAAATTTTTTTTTGAAATTTTTTTTCGATCTCAAGGAAACAACTGAAAAAAAATTTTCGAAATTTTTTAGATTTTTTTTTTAATCTACGGACTTGGAAAATATTTTTTCGACTTAACCTCTATGGCGTCACGCTTAAATAACCGCAGACAAAATAACCGCAGACAAAATAACCGCGACAAAATAACCGACGAAAAAACAACCGAACGACATAATAACCGAACGACATAATAACCGAACGACAAAATAATCGATGAATAAATAACCGTTTAAAGGAATATTTGCAAAAAATTCAAATGTTCAGTATGAAATTTCCGTACTTTATCTATTAGCGCATACGATAACAAGCTCAAGTGTTGGTTTAATGTCGAATAAACACACAGAAAAACCCTGATAAAAGGACGAAACATGATTACTCGCGCTTGTGTTGGTCTAATTTTGAATAAACACACACAAGAACCATGTTAAAACGGCGCTACACGATTGCCCGCGTTTGTGTTGGTCTAATTTCGAACAAACACACGCACAAAAACCATGTTAAAAGGGCGCTACACAATTACCCGCGTTTGTGTTGGTCTAATTTTGAATAAACATACACAAAAACCATGTTAAAAGGGCGCTACACGATTACCTGCGTTTGTGTTGGTCTAATTTCGAATTAACACACACAAAAACCATGTTAAAAGGGCGCTACACGATTACCCGCGTTTGTCTTGGTCTAGTTTTTAATAAACACAAACAAAATAACTACGGATTTTTGTTATTTTGTCGTCGGCTATTTTGTCGTTCGGTTATTTTGTCACGGTTATTTTGTCGCGGTTATTTGGTCTTCGGTTGAACTGTTACGTAACCCAATATAGGAACCATAACCATAATATATTGAAGCTACTCCATTATTGTATAGGAACTTTTCTAATAAACTATGGGTATGGTTCCCATAATGAGCATAGGATTGATACCTATAATGATCATTTTGTTATAGGAACCACCATTCCTATAATGCTTTGGAAAGGTTCCTATAAATTTCTCTCCGTGTAATATCATACAATGCAATACATCATATAACGCAAAATTAGGTTAGGTGTGATCCACCGACTCCATGAATTTTTTTTCTTTCTGTATTTACGTATTTAATTATTAACATTAACTGTCAATTTTGAATCGTGATTTATTTATAAACTGACCTGCAGCTCCTTGATGGCTTCTTTTAATTGATCATCTGTTCTTAGATTTCCGGTTTCCAAATCACTTTCAGGTAAATATCCGAATTTCATGAGATAATTATGCTGAAACAGAAAAAAATAACTCAAAATTAAAATTTGAGCTGTGAGTTTAATAGTATTACAATATCTAGTATTTTTAAAGAATAATTCTAAAATTTGCCTAAAATTCTCATAAAGTTTTAGTATAATGGAACAAAAAATAATTAGGAAAACGGTTGACCCTGAAGATCATCCCTGCAACTTCCCGTCCATTTCATACCTAAACGCTTCAAAGTGCACTTATGACGTTTCTGAGCTCTTCGAGCTCAAAAATACATTTGTGTGTTATTTTGAGCTTTTCAAGCTCAAAGAAATAGCTCATAAAGAATCTTCAAGTTTAATTTAATCGAACTAGGAATTTCAGAGTAATTCCGAAAAAACACACATACATACATACAGACACCATCGCGGGAATCGTCAGGGAAGCTTCTTAAGACTTCGAAACGTCGAGATCCGATGAAAACTCGATTTGCGAAAAACGGGGTAAAACCAATAACCTCGATTTTTGAAAATTTTCAATTTTCTTAGCGAGAAGTTAAAAATTTTTTTAACAACTTAACTGAGAAAAGTTCACTTTTAATTTCTGATTTCAAGGCAAAAAAAGCCACACTCTCTTTTAGTTGGGCATCAAGAGTTTTGATACTAAAACGAAGATATTACCAAAAATTTTATACTCCGTTTATCACTTAATAATCACACTAGAATTTAATTTGCGCGCGCCTGAATATAAGGTTTGCATATATTCTCATGCTTATGATATATTCGACCAATCACATCACGAATAAATTGGCTTCAACATATACTATACCTTAATTCTCATCTCAATTTTATATTAGGACCATCCGCCTTCTGCTAAAATTTTAAGTCGATTTGTACACTGAAAAGAAAATACTTTGATTCAAGAGAATAATTTTTGAACCAAGAAAATCATTTTGAAGATCATCATCGCCTTGATTTATATAGCAGTTCAAATTCTTGAATTGAGAAATTTTACTTGATACAAGATAAAGAAACTCTTCAAAATGATTTTCTTGGTTTAAGAATTTTTCTCTCGAATGAAAATAATTTTTCTTGCTATGTAACATGATATTCTGTAAATATCTCGTATTTTAAATTTAATACCGAATAGTATAAGCTCTCCATCTATATTTTACTGGTATGGAAAATTAATTTTCAATTTGCTATAGACATAATTCAATAACTTATCAATAGTTATAAAACATATAAAAATAAGTATATATTAATGATTGTCGATCAATAATTATTATAATCATAGAATACGATTTAAATTGATCAAAATTTAGTTAGTTGGACAGATTGGTTAAAGCCTTGCTCTCAATAATTTGCATTATAAATTATGTCAATCCCTGATGTAATAACACTAACAAGTAACCGTCATCGCTCTCGATACAAATTATTACTGCTATAAACAATGAACCGAATAGTCGGAAATAACCTTACTGATTTAAACAAATGCACTAAAAACAATTAATTAAAGTTATATTCGATATTAGAAATCATTTTTTTAACCTTCCGCTATGAAAATCAATGATTTGATAAAAATATTGGAAAGTTATTCGTTTCTGCTGGATTGTTAAAAATTGAGTTCTTATTAGATCTCCACGTGTTAAGGTCCTAGATAGCTATTATAACTATTCTCACGAGGATATTTTAAATTTTTATGTGTGTTCATTCCTGATGTATGAGGCATACCTAAAAGTTATATTAATTGGCCTTAGATTTCGTGTGTACTTGAAAACTTTCAAAAAATTTTGTTTTTGAATTGTTATACCGATCACTTCCAAAATTTAATTAACTCGGAAACACAAAAAATAACATCGACTGTCACAAACTATTTAAAAATCAGTTGATTCGTTCGGGAGATATCAAAATAGTGTTTTTAACACATCTTTTAGATTTTCGAACTCGAAGATGTTAAAAATGTACAAAACTTAAGTATGAACAAATTTTTGAATCTTTTGAACTCAAACATAGCAAGGAGTTCCAGGGATGGTATACAGGGTCAATCTTTCATCAGAATTTCATTTTTATTTATTTTTTTTTCAAATAATTCCCATCATCTACATCGTCGTCATTATCATTTGTTACTGCGTTTCTCCCCGCAGATAATTCTCGTGAAATCTGATAGCGGCTATTGAACTAGGAATTAGCCAAGCATGAGAGAGATGCAATTGGTTACTATCGCAAATTCATGAAACAGGAAGCATGAAGACATTGCACGATGCGCACAACGTCTAAATTTGACCAGTGAATTCCTAGAACGTTAAGCTCCCCGCATACAAGAATCTCAAGAGACAGAATAAAAAAAATATAATGATCTAGTTATATCAGAATGACAAAAATTTTCTGAAAACAATCCAAAAATTTCTAACAAAGGTGATCAAACTATCAACAGCCTAGATTTTCTTTAAGGTAAATAATATTTTCTTTATGATTTACCAGACAAGCAAAAGATTATGTATAAAAATAAAGAGAAATTACAAGATGAGAATAGTGAACAGCTGGTTTTTCCATTATACTAATGGGATCGTTCCGTTTCCTTGTTTACTTCCGTAAGTTTTCGTAGAAGATGACTAAGTCAGCCAGGCTGGGTGCAGGAAACGAGTTCATGGGGATCAAGTGGTCTGTCCATAAGCTACTTGCCTTTCATCAAATTAAATCTATATGCCAACAGTCTTTTTGACGCCTTGCAGTGGTAGTTAAGCATATTATGTTGATTATATTTATTTTATCTGATAACTTTTACTAGAATAAGTATATAAATATGACTAAGAAAGAAATAACATAATCTACAACTACAAGTACAGTCTTCTTATTCCTTCATTCTATCGTATTTGTAAACTAATTTTTTTTTTATTCAGAAACTTATAAAAACAAAAAGATTTTAATATAAAAAAAACCGAGTAATTGTTTGGACACTAAAACGATTCTTTACAGAAGGATGAATTCGATCGATTATTTTTTGAATGAACATTCTGTGTGCAATGTCGATCGTCAACCGGCAACCTGACTAGTATATCTAGTATCATGCAAATTCCTCACTCCGCTCCATTACCCATTCTGCGATTGTGGAAACGAGCGAGAGCGAAAAGAATGGAACAACGAAGGTTTTACGGACGTTATTTATACCGCCCTAGAACTCGTTATCTTCACAAGTGATAGTTTACGATATTTGCATTTCGATTGTTGAGACACAAAATAGTCGCTGTGTACAAGGAAATGGCTTACATACACACATAATTGACCGTGTATACAATGATTTGAATTTTTTTAAACGTCAAGTAGAGTTGAAATCGATATTAGCTATTTATTCCACGTGATATGTTTCTAAAACTTTGCAATAAAAATCTGGGTCGAATGTCATCACGGTGAGAAATTTCCATTATTTTTTATTCTGCATGGATTTTAGATTTTACAATGGTGCATATTCCCGAGTCGAAATTTAAGTCGTAGATTCAACGTATTGAACGTTCAAATCGTACATTCGACGTATTGAACGTTGAAAACGTAAGTTCAACGTATTGGACGTTGAAATTGTAACTTGAACGTATTGAACGTTAAAAACGTTAGTTGAACGTATTTAACGTATTGTGAGCGTAAATTGATTTTAAATTTTGCTGGTGCACCATGCATGCAAGTATATTTTACAAATTCATTCCACTGAAGTGAAAATTTTAATTATTAATGAAATTTTAGGTATATTGAAGCTTTATGCTTGAAAATCTAACTATAAGTCGGTCAAATGAGCTCCTCAAATCTTCAAAATATTTTTGAAATGCAAATGAAAATCAATCTAATAGTTTTCAAAGATCTCAAAATATCGAGATTGAATGAGAATTTGGCTCTCAAAAATCAATCTTAATTTAATAACTTCCTTAATTCCAATCAACCGTAATTTTATTAGTTGATTAAATAAGCAAGTAGCTAAACATTAACTCAATCATCAAATTTACTAGTGAACTTTATTGACTCAGAACAAAATTCTACAATGGCCCATAGTAATTTCCGAAACAATTAAAATCAGACATAGCAAATGGTAGAAATTGAAGTGTACCATAGTAAAATGAAATATGCGATAATTTAAATTTCCGAATGTACTATAGCAAAAAAAATAAGAAAACTTCTGTAAAAAATAAAAAGTTTTAGAGTAAAAAATGTTTTTAGCAATCAAAAAAAATATCAAACCAAACAAGATTTTTTTTGTTTGCAATAATTTTTAAAAATATTTTTTTAAAATATAGTTTTTTTATTTGTTTTCTATTTTTTTTAATAATCATTTTCAATGATTTATTTTTACAGTTAATTTTATTATAAATAATTATAAATACAATATATTACTTTTCAATATTATTACAGTTTTAATATAATTAAAGCTTACGGCTAATATAAATTTAATGTCAAATACAAATCTATTTTCAATTTTTTTTTTAATTAAGAATAATATGCAAGTAAGTAAGTAGCAAATTTTTTTTCATAATAAAAATAACAAATACAATACAAAAAAAAATTTTTACTGATAAGAATTTTGGATGTTTAACATTTTTATTATTATTAGAAAAGTGTCGGTTGCAGGTTAACCATCAAATGTTTGTTTACATTTTAATTTTTCACAGTAAATTATTAAATATTTTATTATTTATGAATCTTACAAATTTTCAATAACTATTGATGTGTTGATGGATTTATGAACTAATATTTATTCAAAACTTAACGTTTATTGCAATTTTCATAACACCGTTAACCACTACTGATAGCGTCTGCACACTTATGTTCACACAACAAAGCAGCCCGAAAAAATGAAAGAGCGCGCGTCGCGACTGACGCGCATACGTTTACTATCCCGGGAAAAAATGATCAGACATGAACAGACATGAGTCTTCAGGCCTGATCAGACATGAAAAATGACCATGCCTGATTAGACATGGTCAGGTCTGAAAGCCCATTGTTACTTTTAATTAATTATTTTGCTTAATTTTATGGATATAGTATTTGATAGAGTCATACGCAATTCTCTATAATGAATTGAAATAAAAAAAAAATGATTACATATAAATGTAATTGTACGGCTGTAACACCAGCAGCCACCCATCCAACTACTAATCACGCTCAATGCTGTTTAACTTTGGTGATATCCGTGCGCCTTGAAGTTCCCGCCTGCTATGCTGCTATTTTATGTGACAAAACAATTCTATGAAGTACATAACGTATCGAATAAGTTTATCATAAATATAATATAAAAATTGATTTTATAATATATTTTGATAGTCCTAATTGACATATTCAACCGAATCTCATTATAACATCACATTTATTTAAATAATAAAATAAGTAATGATTTTAATATTAGGCAGAAGCAGAGCAGACTGAAGCATCCAATAGGAAATGTAACAAATTTTTTATTTCAAAATTATTTAAACGTAATGATAAAAATAATTTTGCACTTTTTGTGATGACCAAAAAAATTTTTTTCGTCAAAGAAAAAATTTTTATCACATCTCTGACTATGCAAGTCTGATCAAATCTATACCCGGAAAAAAATGATCAGACCTGACCATGCCTGTTCATGTATGATCAGGCCTGAAATTAGACCTGCTCATGTCTGTTCATGTATGATCAGGCCTGAAATTAGACATGGTCATACCTGTTCATATCTCAAGCGTTAAATACGCTCAGGCCCGATCATACCTGTCCATGTCTATTCATGCTAAGGACCAAATATGCTAAGAAAAAATTTTTGAATATGTTCAGTGTATGTACATTAATTTCGATTAATAAATTTTTAAATTATCAATAAACGGTATATTTTATTATTCAATTTAATAAAAGTATTTTGATTATCATTAAAAACCTACCGTAGGGTAAATTTAATTAACTTTTCTAGACATGGACAGGCATGAACAAGCCTGATCATACATGAACAGACATGAGCGTATTTAACCCTTCAGACATGAACAGACATGGACAGGCCTGATCAGACATGAACAGGCCTAATCAGGTATGATCAGACCTGAGCGTATTTAACGCTTCAGATATGAAAAGGTCTGATCAGGCATGAACAGGCCTGATTAGCCATGATTAGACCTGAGCGTATTTAACGCTTCAGACATGAACAGGCATGAACAGGTCTGATCAGACCTGAGCGTATTTAACCCGTCAGACATGAACAGGCCTGAGCGTATTTGACGCTTCAGACATGAGCAGACATGAACAGACATGGACAAGCATGATCATGTCTAATTTCAGCCCTGATCATACATGAACAGGCATGATCAGGTCTAATTTCAGACCTGATCATACATGAACAGGCATGGTCAGGTCTGATCATTTTTTCCCGGGCACTTACAGTATTTGTTCTGTCAGTTTACGAAAGTTTTTTATAAATGTTTATGTAACAGTTTCATGGCCAAATTTACTATGGTCCCTAGTAAAAATTGATTTGTACAATATGATATTCTTATATTTTTATGGTAATTTTGAATAGAGTCATTAAGGTTCAGTCTTACTATGTATACATAGTAAATTTCTACAGAAATTTCTCACCGTGATTGCAAACAAATTAGAATAACTGTCAATAGCTTTCACAAATGAAAATCTATATAAAAAATCGTATGAAAAATAATTACAGTAAAAATTACTGTTAAGATTACCTGTTTAACTGGGTCATGTTATTGTAGCGGCATACTAAATAGCGTTCATAGCATTTTTTGTTCGCGAATTTTATCAATTTTTTCGCCTCCCTTCTGAAATGATTTTCATTGTTACACTCTATTTTATGAGCCAACATAATTTATAAATCATTGTACAGAAAATTTAATGAACATTAATTCTATAATTTAAAAAAATAGATTGAGAATAATAAAAAAGAGAAAATCATCAAAATGAATCGAAGCTTTTACTCGTCAACTTTATGAAACACCATAAACAGTGTGTACCCATGTAGAAACTGCCAGAGTTGAATGACGGGGCTATGCTTGGCCCAGTACTGGGTAATCAAGCTTGGCGCACCGATCCCCCACGAAAATAATATATATATTCGTATATATACGCGGTATATATTCGAGTTTATATACTGCGTATATATCCGAGTATATATATTTTTTGCCCACTTATATATACCTGCGCATATCAATGGAGATATACTTGCGCTCACATGTGTCCCATTATATATATATATATATATATATATATATATATATATATATATATATATATATATATTAATTTCGTGGGGGATATTGGCCCATGATTCGGCCAAGACTGGGTAATCAGCCTTGGTCAACCCAATGATTATCCGAGCCTGGACGAAGACTGGGTAACCAAGCTTCGGCCGGCCCAATGATTATCCGAGCCTGGACCAACAGTGGTTCGCCATAGAATGGCCGAGGCAAAGAAACCCAGCGTTAGGCCTTCACTGGTTTGCCATAGAATGGCTAAAAGGCAAGAGAACCCAGCGTTGGGTCAACACTGGTTCGCCATAGAATGGCCAAGGCAAGAAAACCCAGCGTTGGGCCAAGACTGTTTCGCCATAGAATGGCCGAGGCAAAAGAACCCAGTCTTGGGCCAAGACTAGGCAACCAAGCCTTGGCCGTTGAATGGCAACCCATATTTGAGCCAGAATTGAGTAACCTAGCCTTGGCCATTCAATGGGAAATCCAAATTTAATTTATCATAAAGTAATAGAATTTTAAACAGTACATATTTATTGTTTAACGAATATTTGTAAGCAAATGCTAAAATTGAAAATTTATTATTTAACCAAAACAATTGCATATCGTCAAACTTGATATGCTCTTCAAAGAATTAAAATATGATAATTTTAAACAGTAAAATTTATAATATGATATCATAAATACACAGAACAATGAAAAAAGTCTGAAGTAATATAAGAACTTAAGTCTTGTATTTTTTTAACTGATAAACATTCGTAAAAAATTGTTAATTTTCATCAAAACAATATTTTTTTTTTTAAGTAATTGTGTGAGAACATAAGTTCTATAACAATCTATTAAGCCATACTATTTATCAATGCTATTTTTCCTTATTTCCGCGGCTGTGGCCGACTTACAGTCTGTACCCGCATTTGCCTGTGCCCCGCCCCTTAGCACAGTGACCGAGGAAACCACAGAAACCTGGTCAGGTACCAGGGTACAGTCAGCACAAGAGCAAGCCTTGGAAATCGCAGAAAAACTGCGACTGCGTTTGTTTCTGAGGGATAGTTTATTAATTACGTCAATTTTAAGGAGTAGTTCTGAATAAATTCAAATTTCACGATAACCGTAATTTGTTTATTTATTTTTCTCAGTCTTTTGATTATATAAATCAATTTTTTACCTATCGCGACATTCAAATGTATATATATTAATTTCGTGGGGGATATTGGCCCATGATTCGGCCAAGACTGGGTAATCAGCCTTGGTCAACCCAATGATTATCCGAGCCTGGACGAAGACTGGGTAACCAAGCTTCGGCCGGCCCAATGATTATCCGAGCCTGGACCAACAGTGGTTCGCCATAGAATGGCCGAGGCAAAGAAACCCAGCGTTAGGCCTTCACTGGTTTGCCATAGAATGGCTAAAAGGCAAGAGAACCCAGCGTTGGGTCAACACTGGTTCGCCATAGAATGGCCAAGGCAAGAAAACCCAGCGTTGGGCCAAGACTGTTTCGCCATAGAATGGCCGAGGCAAAAGAACCCAGTCTTGGGCCAAGACTAGGCAACCAAGCCTTGGCCGTTGAATGGCAACCCATATTTGAGCCAGAATTGAGTAACCTAGCCTTGGCCATTCAATGGGAAATCCAAATTTAATTTATCATAAAGTAATAGAATTTTAAACAGTACATATTTATTGTTTAACGAATATTTGTAAGCAAATGCTAAAATTGAAAATTTATTATTTAACCAAAACAATTGCATATCGTCAAACTTGATATGCTCTTCAAAGAATTAAAATATGATAATTTTAAACAGTAAAATTTATAATATGATATCATAAATACACAGAACAATGAAAAAAGTCTGAAGTAATATAAGAACTTAAGTCTTGTATTTTTTTAACTGATAAACATTCGTAAAAAATTGTTAATTTTCATCAAAACAATATTTTTTTTTTTAAGTAATTGTGTGAGAACATAAGTTCTATAACAATCTATTAAGCCATACTATTTATCAATGCTATTTTTCCTTATTTCCGCGGCTGTGGCCGACTTACAGTCTGTACCCGCATTTGCCTGTGCCCCGCCCCTTAGCACAGTGACCGAGGAAACCACAGAAACCTGGTCAGGTACCAGGGTACAGTCAGCACAAGAGCAAGCCTTGGAAATCGCAGAAAAACTGCGACTGCGTTTGTTTCTGAGGGATAGTTTATTAATTACGTCAATTTTAAGGAGTAGTTCTGAATAAATTCAAATTTCACGATAACCGTAATTTGTTTATTTATTTTTCTCAGTCTTTTGATTATATAAATCAATTTTTTACCTATCGCGACATTCAAATGTACAAAAGACTGAGAAAAATTTTGTAACGGGCATATCTTTATCGTAAATTGAGTTTTATATTTTTTCAGAGCAAACTATTCGTAACGTGATTGGTCAAATATATCATAAGCATGAAAATACAGATAACTCCTTACCAACATTCACACGCGCGCTTGCGCGCGCAACGTATACTAGTTTAGATGAAAAATATATCATGTATGCAAACTATTCGTAACGTGATTGGTCGAATATATCATAAGCATGAAAATATAGATAATTCCATACCAACGTTCACATGCGCGCTTGCGCGCGCAACGTATACTAGTGATTTAAATAGTTGAAAGAGTAAGGAAAATTTTGTGACGATCATATTAGTATTTTTAAAGCAATTTTTGTAGTTAAATTTGGTATCATCAGAAAGGTCTTAACAAGAATTTATGTCTTTTTACGATTTTATATATTTTCTAATTCATAATCCGTAACTCTCGGCAGTCACATAGTGACTGTGGGTTGCTAGTAACACTTATTGTCCATTACTTATTAGGTTCTTAACTTCTCACTAAAAAAATTGTAAACTTTTTAAAAATTCGTAAAATCACCCAGTATAGTTATTTGCGTGACAAGTATTCTGAGCCATTTATAACATGTCAGTCGCAATGTTTTTTGTACGAATCGGAGGTGAACACTGCACAAGGAATAGCAAATCTGACAACCAGAAGTTCTCAATGCTAAATTAGATAGAAAAGTCCAACGAACTGAGACGCATGTGAACACTTGATGGGTATTCTCGTAAATGAGCAACGTAACTCGCTTCATGTCATCCCCTGGCAATCTGCAAGCTTAGTGAAATAAAATTTTGAGTATTAAAAATTTTTAAATAAAAAACATAAAATATCTTGATGATTTATTACACTGAAATAAATTTTCTTTAAAAATTACCGTTAAATTCACAGTAATCGTGGGACGAATGGCACGACCATTTGTTCATTTAATCATTTGTCGGTTAGTGAAATAATTTTTAACTTTCTTTCAACAAATTTTACCGTAGTCTACTGTAAATTTTATTAGGTTTTCGGTAAATTTTATGAAGTCTATAGCACAAAATAAATGAATTTTTTTATAATTTTTATTTAAAAAATAGTAATAAATAAAAAGGTCGCATTATGTCCCACGATTACAGTGAATTTAACAGTAATTTTTAAAGAAAATTTTTTTTAGTGTAATATTCAGCAGAGTCGGATGTATTTGTAGGAATCAATAAATGCTGAAAAAATTTTATTTAATCTTGAATACAAAAAAAAACTATCAATATTAGAGTTGGAAAACGGCCGAAAAACCTAGCTTTGTGATTCTGTACTCCATAAAGCTTACTTTAACATGCATAATATTCCAGAGCACTCTCTATACAAATAGATCTAATGTAGATATCTTATAAATGAGCTCAATGTTGTCGGTACAAGAACTTTAATGAGTTACAGTTAAATCTTGGTTGACAGCTTTTCAATTATATTACGCGTCAAGACTTTAATGCAAAATAAAATTTTAACGAAAACTAATTTAATCAAACCTTTCATAATTTATGAAAATCTTACAAAAAAATTAAAAAAACGGTAGACCCTGAAGGCCATCCCTGCAACTTTCCGCTAATTCCACACCTAGGTACTTAAAATTGGACTTATGACGTTTTTGAGCTCTTCGAGCTCAAAAATACAATTTATGTGTTAGTCTGATAGAGGTTTAATAAAACACTATTTTTTGAATTTTCAAACCGCAATAACTTTTGAATGACTCAACCGATTTTCTCGCGGCTTACAGCATTCAACGCAGTTTTTGATCTCTACAACACAAACGCGAATAATCGTGTAGCGCCCTTTTAACATGGTTTTTGTGTGTGTTAATTCGAAATTAGACCAACACAAACGCAGGTTATCGTGTAGCGCCCTTTTAACATGGTTTTTGTGTGTGTTTATTCCAAATAAGACCAACACAAACGCGGGTAATCGTGTAGCGCCCTTTTAACATGGTTTTTGTGTGTGTTTATTCGAAATTAAACCAACACTTGAGCTTGTTATCGTATGCACTAATAAATAAAGTACAGAAATTTCATACTGAACATTTGATTTTTTTTGCAAATATTCCTTTAAAAAGTTATTTTGTCGTTTGGTTACTTCGTGGTCGGTTATGTTGTCGATCGGTTATTTTGTCGTTCGGTTATTTTGTCGTCGGTTATTCTGTCGCAGTTATTTTGTCTGCGGTTATTTAAGCGTGACACCCAGGAAAAGCACCTGACCCTGATGGCATCCCGGCATCCGTGATCAAGACTGTAGCCCTAAAATACCCAGATATACTCCTGAATACTTACAATGCTTGCTTGGCAACTGGCACGTTTCCCGCGGTTTGGAAGCGGCAGAAATTAGTTCTCTTAGACAAAAGTAAGGAAACCCCTCTAACACATTCGTCGTTTAGACCACTCTGCATGCTGGACAATCGGAGCGATCGAGAATCTTAGGAAAGACCTCAACAGAGCTGCTTTTTAAAGCGGAACTCAAAATTCCAATTTTAAAAGGTCCCTCAAGGAAGTAACATTTTGGCACACCCTAATATATATATATATACATATATAAACTTTTGAACCATATGTATTTTCTGACTCAGAT